AATTTGACCTAAAGTATAAGTATACGACGGCAGTCGTCGCTATTATAACTTATTTACTACATCCTGCATGATTATTCACAAATTTTCTACAATTAATATCTCGATAATTATTGCCAATATCGCAAAACAGTATAAGACTTTTATGTTCACGTCAACCCATTCTATGTCCCCACAAAATTCCCGGAGGAGAGTGTGAGACACCCTGTATATATATATATATATATATATATATCTCGGCTCAAAGTATTTTTCGGAAAACCCATAAAGCCGATATATCGGCTCTAAGGTACTAAAAGGGTTAAACATTTATCTCTGAATCGTAATGGAAATTTGCATACATATCACACGTATATATACGTATATATACGTATATATATACACGTAAATATACATAGAGATACAAATGGAGATTTTTATAATTATTTTTTAATTATATTTTCTTTGTTAAAATTAGCAAGATTATACATTTTTATAATAATATAGTTATAAAAATACTTCCAAGTAGCGGAATAACGTCAAATAATGTACTAATGACGTATTAATGATGTCTTTAACATCATCATTTTTGCTTATATTTCAAAGTGAAATAACTTTTGATTCAAATTTTAAATCAATAACAAATGTGTCACTTTTAAATTAATCTGTAACGCGCGCTATAAATTTTTGAGATATGGGCAATTCTTAATAATCCTAGTTGTCTCGATCTTCAAACTGTTTCAAGAATGACCTGCATTTATTTCTTTGTAATCACAGTACTTCCATCGATTTTTATTGCAACTATACTTATTCACACTTTAGAATATTATATACAACCACATCGCGACCATAAATTTCTATACCCCAACGTTCCCCCAGCGTTATTCTATCTTGATTCGGAACAGTTCTCTTTACACCAGCCTCTTATCTTCATTCTTCGAAAATCTCTCGCGTAAGCACCACAAAAGCTTTCGCGATCTCATCTGAAGATGCTTGCAAAATGTGAAGGGTGTTACGACACCATCATTTCGACGTAGTGTAGCGCACACATCGTAATGTATATACATACCGCGAGAAAAGGATCGAAGCAAAGCGCGCGGGTAGGATCAGTGTCGCGTCCGCGGCTTCATAATCAGTAGTACACTCGTGGTTTGATCCGACCTGATCCCGTGAAGCCGCGCGTTTATTCGTTAACGTCGCTTTCTCTCTCTCTCTCTCTCTCTGTCCCTCTCTTTCATTAATCGATCGGTTGCGCAACGACGAACTCCGCGGGCTTATTAAGAGTAAAAATAACCCGCGCTGTAAATCCATACCGGCAGACAGATACACAGCGACGGAACACAGACAGAAGAACGGAGAAGTGTACGCACACGTCGCGAGAATACGAACGTCAAAGTCTAGTCTAGTCTAGTTTCTAGCGACCACAGAGCTCGTGTGCGAAAGGATGCTTCCGCGCGTAATAAGAAGGTAACTTGAACCGAGGCGGAATGCGCTAATAAATTTTAGTTTAAACTTTCCGGTCGCGCGCTTAGGAAGGCAGGCGCCCGGAGGATCGTTCAATTAGCTGGCAACGCGGCCGCGGTTACGTGTGTTCGCTGCGTTAGAGGGACGGCAAAGCGGTTAATGAAAAATTAAGAGCGCGCACTCCTCCAAAAGTCGCACTCGAGGAAGCGCACGCGTCGGAAAAACCGAAGAGCGAACGCTCCGCGAGTACGACAAGTACGACGTCTCGTTCTGATACGATTATAAAGCGATTCGCGGACTTTCGAAGCAATTCGCGGGATTTTTCGACGCTATGGCGCATATATATTTGAAAAACGGACGAGTTATAACCGCACAGCCGGATTGCATTTAATTGATAACGCCCCGCTGTCGTATCAAATGGATCGCCATGAGCGTTTGGCATCGCGAAACGAATCCACCATCGTGAAAATCGTGGCAGTTGTCCGGGCATCGGTCGCGCCGCGCAATTTCCCCTCGATCTTAACGGCGTCATTACAGTAAAAATTTATAACGACTTGCACGAACTTCCACGAGCACCCTCGCGTAGCCTACGATCGCGTATAATACCATAAAGCGAGTTGACTTTATCCCAACTGAAAATTTTCATCAGATATGCCCGATATTGCACAAGGGTGAATGTAAGATAATCCTAAGTATAGTATACTTGGTAAAAAAGTGAGAATTAAAGGGATATTTTTGTAAAGCTGTGGTGGTTAGGTCCATCATAGGTTCATATTAGGATCCTAATGCATTAATTTAATGTGTTGCTAGTGGAATATTCAAATAGAAGAACTTTTCACGGAGAAGAATATGATAAAGAAGAAATATCACATGTTAGTAAAGAAATTATTTTGTTAAATTATTAAGTAAAATAGTAAATTTTTTAATTTCTCATACCAAATTTTCTTTCTCTATGTAGAGAAAAAAATTGCTTTCAGTATTCTTTAGAGATGTGCGAATCAAAGATTTTTAATGTCGATTCGAATCGAATCGAATCTCAGATTTTAATGTCGAATACGAATCGAATTGATAAAATTTCACCCGAATCGAATCGAGTCGAATCGTTAAAAGAATTTTTAATTAACATAAAATTCAACATGAATTCACATTGAATTCACATTGAATTTCACATTGAATTCAACATGAAAATAGTGACTTCAGTAAAAGAGATAACATTGATCATGTGATATCAATTCATTTTAAGGTAAAAGATATATAATATATAGTCGGTAAACGTGTATGGAATACAGTTCCAGTCTTGAAAGCTGCACAACGACATATATCGACAGTTAACGACGTGTCGGTAAGAGTTTATCTAGAAGCCATTATCTTCTTTTAATATTTTTAAAGAAAATCTTAATGTATAGCAAACTTTTCAAGTCATGCTAATTCTCGTAAGACTGAATGTCTTTAATAGTTCTTCGTTAATACTACTGTGCGCGATCCATATTCGAATCTTTTTGATTTGAAATTTACGAATT